TGAACTTTTGAAAGTTTTGAGCACAAGGATTACCATTATTCCTCTTGTCGATATTAGGAAAAAGTCTGCTGGGCTGTCACATGACAGCTCAGAACCTCCAGAATTTAGGTGCCAAGGTTAGAAATAATTCAGATACGGGAGACTCCTTTTAGGTTTAAACCAACTGGACTTTAGCATTGAAACTGGCAACCCAAAACACCATATTATAGCATAAATAAATGGGACATCATGTCTAATGTCTTTGTAATTAGCAATATATCAACATTAGAATCTGTAAAAGTTCTATTTGATTTAAACATGTTTACCTCATAAGCACACATATTGGTCAACTCTATAGTATCACATTCCAGTTCAACTCATATGCATTGTGTATGTATTAAAACAAGTCAACAATGTGGTAATGTTCTCATTAAAATAATATATTTTGTACTAAGTAACACATGTAAGATGAGCTGCAGGAGAGGTTTCCTCTATAAGATCAGGAAATGAACCACACTGAGGGAAGTTGTTGCCCACTGGAGATATCCTCAGGAAAACCCTGAGGTGATGCAGAGCCACGTCATTGGGACAAAAAATTGTATATTTAAACACAGAGACAACGAGATTATACTTTTCAAAGTGTTAACTTTTTTGTTTTGTTTTTTCAAGAGAAATCTATATAAGTTGGCACTAAATCAAAAAATATGCCTAAAGAGCCCAACCAAAAACCATTAACAGACCTCAGACTTTCAATTTGTCATTTCTCAAATGAAAATCACATTTACTTCTTGTTTATGATGTTATATTCATGGCAAAAAATGGTGTCATCATTTAAAAAACACTTCCTGTATTCACTGTCCCATTCCCCACCTATTTCCTTAAAAAATGCAGAACAACAAAATACCCTGAATATTACGTAACCTCTCATGCGGTAACCATCTTTGTTTGAGATTTTGACATCACCCTTTTACTCTCCTGCACTGACAATGTGAACACCCTCTAATCCATATCAGATATAAATGATTCTAAATAAAGCCAGAGGACAGTCCTGGTCCAGTGATGTTACGCATGAATCATCACATCATCCACCAATTGTGTCCCTGCCCTTCCCTTCTGCCCTGACCCCTCAAACAATGTTCAAGCTTATTTTACAACTCCTGACAGGGATTGTAACATATAATTATAGAACGTGTGAAAATGGTTTCTACCACACATGCTGATGTCAACTCGTCCCTATACAGCTGTACAGTTCAAACTCTGTCCCAGCGCAGTACCTCCCTGAAACTTGGTGTGAAGTGGAAGCATGACGCATTCGAACTATGAATCATAACTGACCCACCTTTTTCTTTTTTTCCCCCTTTTTTACAATCACCAGTTCCATAAAAGTGAAATCATCGTTTAACTGATGGATTATTTGTTGTACTTCAAATTTGCAGTGACAGCCAAGAACGGACCCCAGAACAGAGGAGTATTGAAAAGCTCAAAGTGGCCGAGCTAATTCTCTCCAGGCCTATAATGTCTGCTCTTGTGATTTTATTCAATCACACACTATTTACCTTTGCACATAATGTCAACACTGATGGAGGGCAGTCATAGTGGAAATGAAATCACCTGTTCTACCTCAATACACACATTATTCTGGGCCCGACCACAGACATGGCAGGGCTCTCGGTTTGTTTATGCAGTTGGGTCAGCGTTTTAGCATTTAGCATGTTCTGCCAGTATGCCTGACTATATTTGATGTGAGAAAAGTGGAAGGAAATCAAAGTCATTTCTCTTAAGTGGTCTGTGTTCTAGTGGAGCCTGGCTGTTTGTTGTGCAAAGGTGTGTGGATCTACCTACAAGGAACAAATGGACTTTAAAGGGACGTAACATATTAAGACGTTAACAGAAATCTTTTTATTACTGCTAATTTTATTCACTGCCATAGTTGCATCTGACTTGTAACACAGGCTACATATAACATACAAATAACCATGATTTCCTGTCATGTAGGCTTTAAAGTTAGTTGAAGGACTTATATGTTACTTGGAAAAATGTTTGTACAGTATTTGTTCCATGCCGATTGTGGAGGTGACCTTAAACTAGGATTAGGGTCAGTTAAGATTATACTTGTAGAGTTCAGTGCTTTATCAATTTAGGTTTTCTTGGAGCACTTATGTACGCACAGTATAGCCATATACATAATGATATAGGAACATAAAAAGTAATATGGCTATGTTTAACATGGAAGATGTAGCAGAGTAAACAGAACTGATGCCGGCTGTGGTTGCTTATGTATCCACAGGTTGGGAAAGTGCAGTGGGTTTTGTGAGTGGCCAAAAACAACAGAGGAAACTAGAGGTAAAGGAAAGGACTGTCCAAGTGCAACGCTGTGCTGTCTGAGAACTTTTCAGCCCTATTATGAAAAAACCTCTTCCTCTTCAAAGACATTTGTCCATGCTTGTTCAGCTGATTCAGTGCTTCACTCACCACCTGCAAACACAGTTTGTACTGTGGAGAGTTCTGCTGTCATCTAGATATGCCACTCTTCTTTTCTCGTTTAAATGCTAATAACTTTGAGGACATTTTCCACAAAAAAGTGCCCAGAGCAAAGCTTTTTCCTATCTGCCCACAACACAAGGTGAACCACCACCTGCATGCACTGGAAATTAGCAAGTCATGTTGTTGCTGCTTAAAGCCTCGTCTGACTTTGGCTGTCCAGCTTTGAGCATGAATTTTGTGTCACAATTATATTTGTTATAAAGTGTTATGATTCTAGTTGTACAATTTGCTGGAACATTTTCTCTTTTATATTTAGGCTTCAGGATGTGTTTACCCAGTCAGTACACCAGTCCAAAAGTGCTTCAGTAACTACAGAGTTACAAATTAAGCACTATTAAGTAAACTTTGGTGGTAATGGTATGAAGTCTAATGCCCACAAAGAATGCAAGCATTGTGGTTGAAAGGTTTTAGGTCACCTGGTACAAACTTAAGACCCCTCACATTTTTCACATTTGATTTAAATTCCTTCATATTGAATGAAATTGTACATTATGAGCATTAGGCAGAGGCTGACCATCAGAAGCCAAGCTGAGCATTGCAAGTGTCCTGAAGACATCGGACTTACAAAAGCTGCTACCACACCTGCCCATGCTTCATACCCTACAGCCAGATCTCCATGAAGAGAACTTTTCATGTTGAATGCCTCAAGAGCACCACATTCACACAGCTTCATACACCACTTAGATACATGTCAACGGCAGCTCACAACCCAGGCTTTCAGGAGATTTTATCACTAATCTAACTATTCAGAACCTCAAACTGTACAAATAAGAACTAGTGATGTATTATCTCAGAGCCCTTTCAAGCAGAAAGCATTCACACCCTGCAGAGAACCAGGGTGACATGAGATGTTTGTGTCTTTTAACTAGATTCACTGAATAAATGTGTCATAATATCCATGCACTGGAAAAACTCACATCCAGCCAAGTTAAAATGACTTAAATTAAGAAAGTTTCATCATGATTTGAATAAATTTCACTTGACAAGTAAAATGATCTACTAACGGAACAAGTCTTTTTGTACTTAAAATATGAAAATACATCTTGTTACACTTGAGATAAGAAAAACTATGACTCTTTATTCTTAAAATAATAAGCAAAATCTAATGTTGCTTCAATTAAGAGAAACACAGTTATTCCACTGGTAGATCAATATACGTCAATCTTAATCTTTACAAATAAAGTAAAATGTTCTAAATTTAAGTCAATTTAGATCTTGATTGTTGCAGTGGCTTACAACCATGTCTGTAGTAAATCCTTGCTATTTGGCCTGTGCCAAACTTCACTCTCGAGGAGAACTTCTAAGTGAAGTATGTGTTATACAATATACATAGCAGATGGAGTGCTTTGAGGAGTCATGGGTTCTTATATAAAATCTATTTTTATTCAAAACTACACTCCAAACTTTCTCACTCAACTTTGTACTGAATCAAATGCAAATTGAACAAGAAAATGAAGGCCCGATAAGACAGGTGTGGGGAAACTGAAAGGACTATGATTATAAAGGCAAAAATGAGCTCTTCCGGAGTCTCCAGGCACTAAGTCTGTATCCAATCAGTGTGTGAATAGTTGACAAAATGAGGAATTTTAATTGGCACTTTTCCTGGCTATCAAATTAATTCCACCTCTTTTCACAGTAAAACAGGCCCTGATAAGAGTTCTAATTTCTGATAGCTTTGACTGACTAATTATGACATTGTCTGAACTGGCCGCCACCAAATGGACTTGGCAAGTGCTGAATGGACGAGGGGTGATAAACTTGTACTTCAACTTTGTGAATAGAGAAGGACTTTAATCTCATATCACACAACTTTATGTCATAGTTCAAACTCCTTGGCCCCATATGGACTTTGGAAATTAATCATTTAAATGTTCAAACTATGTGGCAAACTATGACACATACTTGACAGCCTGGGGTATTTTCTTCTAAAGAGGGAGAGAGGACATTCCCACCACTGTTGTTGATTTGAAGTCCGTTCCCACTGAACCTCTCACTGTTGGTGAGATGATGTACAGCCAAGTTCTTCTAATGGTTAACAGGCTACTGATGTTGTGAGACTATTGTGAAAAATGCAGCAGTAAACTCTATGACTTACAGATTCCGTATGTCAGTGGGACTTCATAGTTTAATGTTAAATAAATAAATTAAATCAATGTGTTGTGTGTGATTTTCAGGTTTAATTTGGGGTTAGTTATTTGGCACATAAAACTCACATTTACCTACATAAATAACAGTTAAAACTAAAGCTAAAAGAACAAATATTGCATTCTAACTTCTGTTTCCACTTCTAAGAGTAGCCTAAATACTTGGCACACATGAGAGCGTACTCTTCATAGACATTCTGGAGTAGAGCGCGCGCAGTATATCACTGTGCCTACATAGCCTACATGCCCGCCCCGTGGGTGTGCTTAAGCGCATCCACCTGCTAGCGCCTGCCTCCCGCCCCACTAGAGTCAGGATCAGCTTGGAGCGCACAACTTTAGCCGAGCAGCAGCCTGCACTACACGCTGCGTGCCTGGACCGCTCTGTGTCTCTCACACGGGACTTAGTTCCAACGCGCCACTTTTCCCACGAGATGGTGATCGTTTCCGTGCCACAGAGTGTGCTCCACACACGATAACTACTGAAATAGTTGTGTTTTAATGACGTGTTTTCGCCCGGACTCTGTGCGAGGACTAAGGAATAATCAAAGTGCGCGCAGGTAGGCTACAGCCCTGTCCTGCGCTCAACTGGATTTCTATCTGGAGTGACTCTTTTGGGAATGTTTTATTAAATGTTTTGTTGGACCGGACTGTACTTTTCCACACGTCAGTACTGACAAGGTAAATCCTTTTTACCCAGTCAACTGCTTTTGTTGAGCAGGGGACATGCATGTGCTTATGGTGCACTTATAGCTTATGGTAAATTTTCACAAAACCATATACATTAAAGACGCAGGTCTACACAATAATTGTACTAAATGTGAAACGTTATTCGTTGGCACTCTTCATTGGTGCGCTCTATTTGCAGTGGAGTGTCTCTAATTCCACACCAGACTGTTTACAGTTCTGTCGTCCATGTGTAGCCAAGGCTGCCAGGCTGTTGCGCGCACTACTCCATAGCATAGTGGAGCATACACAGCACAGCTAGCATACATCAGTTGTTGTCATCAGTTGAACTGAATTTTTTGTAGACACATTTATTTAATTTTATTTCAGAAATAGCCTAACTTTTTTTTTTTACCTGACAAAAAACTAAAAAGAAATTAAAATAAAAAAAGATGTCATTGTGGCATATTAGACTAATTTGAACGTCAGCCACCATGTGTTAATGTGCATTTGTGTCCATGTTGATGACAGTAAATCTGGCATTAACTCTGGGACACAAACAATGTATAAATTGACAGTCGCATTAGGTGTGACATGCCTCCCCACGGAAGGTGTAAAGCAATTTCCACACATTTTAAATGCAATTCTGTCTTTATTAAGGCTCTTTTTGTTCCCATTTACTCCATGAAACGATTGACTATACGCACACTTACACAAACAGTCTCAGTAGCTTTGTGTGTGGCTCCAACATGTGCCACTGTGCCTTGTTTGGTGATTCACATGTGTGAATGGCTTGGCCTCCCTCAGAATAAACAGCTGGATGCCTAATAAGTAGTAAACACCCATGATTTGAACAGGTGTTTACAACAATAATTTACTCCAGATATCCTCTGTGTGCTTTCAGGATCCTTTAGGCCATTAATGTACAGCAATAATTAAGTCACTAAATGTGTTAAATAAAGAGTTGCCTCACAGCATATCATGAGAGGGATCTTACATATGTTTTGATTTAATGAGCAATCTGGCTTTAATGGGATGCATTATTTACACGTGGCACTTTAAATGGATAAATTGCTTTGCATATCTGAGTATTGTATTATTTACATTGTGTTGATAAATATATGTAGATAAAAGTGTAAATCCATGTCTGACTCAGAGATGAACATTTGGACAACAGAATTTGCGACTATAGAAAGTAATAGAGCCAAAAACATAATAGTTACATTTAGATCGGTTAACTTTTAACATATCAGTCATAACAATACAACAAAAAAACTACAAAACTACTGCCATTAGTCATTTGAGATTGGCACAATGATGTGCCTAAAGAGAACAAGAGGTTGGAACTTACAGCTACTATCTCCAAAAACACAATACTGTCTATGGCTCAAGATTTAATATTCATAACAGAACAGTTGAAAGATTCACATTTGTACAAAGTTGGGGCACTGGGCATGAGGCGACATGTTTGACATCTTCTTTTGCTGAGCTGTGATCTATCTTCTTTTTTCTTTATACTTCTTCAATGCAGTCTGCTATTTATTAACCAAACACATAATGTTGACCAAGATAAGTATTGTCCAATGTCTTGTAAAAGTGCCACTGAGTATTTTACATCATTAGTACGTCTTTCCAGAAATACCCTTTTGTAAACTAACATGGTGTTAAACAATTGGTCATGCCTTGTTTAGTAATAAACATGAGGTTGCAGCACAGACCTGGTATTAGGTAAAGCCGTAATTACAGAGCAAAATCCAGTGTCATCATGGGTCGGGAATGTTTGGAGACAAGAAGAGTGACTCCCTGTATGGCACAATATGAATGCAACTCCTTCCAAATGGGAATATGCTTGGAGTATGTAGAAACTGCTCCAGACTTGGCTCCAATCCAGTGAAACTTGATCATGAAAACTAACTGGTGGGAATGAAGCATGATGTTTGTATTTTTTTAAATATAAATTTAAATTTTTAAGTATAAATGATCTAACCCATTAAAAAAATATCATGGTCAATGAATGACACTAAAATATTATTATCAACAAGATCTGATTTAATTTCCATAATAATTTTCAAAATATATAGATGTGGGACGTATATAAAAATAATAATATCGGAATTGCTGTTTTGGAGAAATGCTAAATTAGAATATTACGTATATCATCATCTTCCATCCACAAATAAAACTTCAAAAAATTACTCATAAAGACTGATTAATTAATTTCAAACATGCAAACTATAAAACAGAAATCAAGAGTACATCTCAAGAGTAATCCCAGATCAAAATGAAACATATTGCACAGAGCTGTAAATTCTAATGTATAAAGTGATTTGTCTACGCTTTTGTGGTTAATTTCATGGTCCATTCACGATTTGTCCAATACCTTTACGCTCATAAGAATGTATTTATTAACAATCTGAATGTAATTTTTCCTCATAATTCTCTCCACAGATTTTTTTCCTTGTACCAACTTTAGGAAACTTGAGGTCCACCATGTATCTGAGCAGTCTATGGACAGTCCACACCATTCTGGCCCTGTGTAGTTTGGCCTCAGGGAACATCATCACCACCGCCACCGCCACCACCAACCAAGTCATCAGTGATCCGCTCGCTGCACCCCGCGTCTTCATCTCATTCAAAGGTAAAGCCAGAAAGGGAGATCTGGTGGGATATTGCGGAGAGCTCCCATGAGGCTTCTCTTCTTATTTGCGCTTGGGTTCTTTAATAACTGCTGTTTGCGCTGCTGCAGATAGAATTGTTGTTTGGTATCTGCGGTCTGGTTGGTGCTGTGGGTTGTTTGTGAATGAAATTGAAGCGTGTTTTCCAGAAGTGGGCAATATCTGCTGCTATTATAGTTGAATACATTTGATTTGCTTTTGATACGATATGTCTATGTGATTTTGTGGTATTTATGTAGATATCACAAAGTCATAAATACATAAAAAGGTATGTATGCCATCATGAGAAAGTACTGTGTAAAGTCGTCCAGGTACGATCCATAACAAAAGAACTGAAGAAGCCACTTGGATGAGAGGCCAGCTAATGAAGGGACAAAATGAATACAGTTTAATTTGTTTAAAATGTGTAGGCCTTCGACTTATTGTTCAATATATGAAAACTGGAACAATGTTTTTTGGGTCAATATTTATTGTCTATATGTTTTTGTTACAAACCTGCTAGAATTTGGGTTATTTTGGGGGGGGGGTTTACAATAAGATTTAAGCCATAAAAGTTTTAATTAATAACTTCTATGACTCATTACTAGGGATGTAACAATAACTGAAATATCGTGATATCGTATTGTTAAAGTTCTCACAATAATGTCGTGGACCATCACAATATATCGAATTACAAGTCTCTCTGCTTAAATTAAGAGTTATGGTGCAGCAATAGTTTAAAAAAGACAGAGGGAACTACATATGATCCTTTGCTCCATTTCAGTGCAGATTACATGAAGAAATTACTGTTCTAAACACTTTTATCTTTTTGATTAAGTCTTGTCAAGGCATTCTGAGAGGAAAAAGTAGCATATTAGGGCCCGGTCAAACAGACCTTTTTCTGTACCATTTTTGGTTCTAAAGTTCCATATGTTTTAAACAGACCATGTATGAAACATGGAACAAAAATTATTTCCCAAATTCCTGTTACTTTTCCCTCCATTACCATGACCTTTCTTCATAAAAAATCTCATGACTCAAAAAGTAAGAGGTTTTTCAACCTAATCTTGTACCATATGGTAGAAAACTATATGAAGCAAATATTCAAACCAGTTTGTTAAGGATATGGAAGTGAGAACCACTAGTTATCACTGTTTGTAGTTATTGCCCAAAAAGTGCTGCATATTTCATTCCCTCCGTTACCGACATGAGTTTTACAATTTTTTGTCAACAACTTGAAAGAATATCACAGGTTTAACTTGACCCTGTTGGAGTGTAACTCTTTCCTACATTCTGATACTTTACTTATTTCAATAGTCCCTCTAGTTTCTGAATAAGAGACATTTGAATGTCAAAAATCTGCCCCTGTTTCCCTCCATTACCACTTGACTGGACCCATTAACAGTTTTAGCTGTTTAGCCTTCACAAAATTATATTATTGTTACAACCTAATCGTGAGCCTCCCCACCATGTCATGAGCTTTCCTTTGATATCGCAGTAAATATCGTACCGTGAGGTTCATACCGTGATGATATTGTATCATGAGACTTGGATATCGTTACAACCGTACTCATGACATATGCATTTATGTACTGAAGCTCATGTTCTTTTAACAATATTGTAGACTTAGAATAGTTTTTATGGTTTAAATCTGCTCTCGGGTTTTTGTGTCAGTGGCATAAATTTGTTCCAGTATGATCATTTATTGTCTATATTTACTTCAGCAACATATCACACTTCAAAATTGTTATTGTGACAGGTCTGACATTGTTCTATATACAGTAGTCAATGGACATTCTTTTCTTTCAATAGATTTGTTGATTGATCTTCTTGTCCCTACAAGACTTCCGCAGCTGTTGTGTTGTGCCAGCTTTGCAATACAATACAATGCGTGTCTATGTTGTCTATTTCTATAGTATCCACTCACACACATCATGCCCTTTCCATTTGCTGCCCCTTCCTCTGACCTACAGCCCATAATCCTCACCAGATGCTCTCACTGGACCGTACTGTACAAACAATTAACAAGTCAAACATGCAGTTAGCAGCGCCACACTCTGCAGATACCCTGATTATTGTTTTAGCTAATCAAACGCACTATTGTTTCTGTAAGCTATCTTAACTTCCAAATCCTTCAGCGGGAGACGGGATAATAAGAAGCACGTAATAACTCTAGCCATTATGTGATTATTCCCAGGAGAGAAGAAGGATGTGGACTTTACGGGGGGGCTGTAAGAAAAGGTAGAATGGGTTGCCAGGTTGGCGTAGCGCACTCTTGAAGCATCTATGGGGAATTATAGGGAGCAAATTGCCAGGATCATCCATGCAGAGCCGCTGTCCCCAAGGCTGGTCCTGCAGAGATGAGGACTTTTGATTAGCGGCGGAGTGAGAAGGGGGCGTGGAGGAGAGCCGGGGCGCACCTATTTGCTTTTGCGTTTCATTTCCCAGAGCTCCTGAGTACAACTTGACTTCATTAAGTGGCGTTTCCCCGCTTTAATCAAGTAGGATTTAACACATCACTGAGCACACATCCAGAGCTCAGCATTTCAGCTTTTTAAAAAAAATCTGGGACATTTTACTCACACAAAAAAACTGTTGTGTTTTTTGCTTTTGAATGGGTTTAAAGTTCTTGTTATTGTTGGTTTTTTCTTATTTAAGCAATGCAGTTTCCTCCATGTTTTACTGCTTTCTCCCATAGTCCAAAGTGTGATACAAAAATAGATTTGTTTATCGCTGGAAATGTCATTGTATTTCTGGGAGGTTATTGAGGGTGGCAGCAGTAACGTCACAAAATATACAAACAAAATGTGAATCTAAATTGTCCCAGAAGAATAAGTGTGAGATAATGTCTGTCTGTGTCTACTCTGTCATCGTCAAACTAGAGAGGGATTAAAAAAACGTACATATGGGTCCGGTAAAGTGGTAACGGAGGGAAACAGAAGCAGATTTTTGACATTCAAATAGTTCTTATTCAGAAACTAGAGGGACTATTGAAATAAGTAAAGTATCAGAATGTAGGAAAGAGTTACACTCCAACAGGGTAAAGTTAAACCTGTGATATTTTTTCAAGTCGTTGACAAAAAATTTAAAAACTCATGTCAGTAACGGAGGGAATGAAATATGCAGCACTTTTTGGGCAATAAATCCAAACAGTGATAACTAGTGGTTCTCACTTCCATATCCTTAACAAACTGGTTTGAATATTTGCTTCATATAGTTTTCTACCATATGGTACAAGATTAAATTGAAAAACCTCTTACTTTTTGAATCATGAGATTTTTTATTAAGAAAGGTCATGGTAACGGAGGGAAAAGTAACGGAGGGAAAATTGTACAAACAAGTAGAAGGTGCAGGATTTTACATCATTTGTCAGCTTTTTTCTTCCAAATACTTTAATATTACTTCAAAATGAAAGGAAACTTATTTCTATAAAATATGTCAGTCCTTCCAAGCAAATTTTTATCATTAAAATAAAAAAAATAAAAAAAATCATGTACCTTCATCAACAGTTCAAAGATGGAATAACACAAGATATGATGAAATACATCCATTTATTTACATGATTTGCAGGTCTTTGAAATTTGGGAAATAATTTTTGTTCCATGTTTCATACATGGTCTGTTTAAAACATATGGAACTTTAGAACCAAAAATGGTACAGAAAAAAGGTCAACAGTTTCATAAACTAGAGTACATATGTATCTGTTCAATACATTTTTATATCAGGTGCATTAACTTGAATTTTTGGCCTTGATGTTTACTTCTGCTTGACCGCGCCCATATAATATTTTAAACAATCTTAAACAAAGCTTTTGCTATGTGTGCTGCTTTATAGACCTATCTGTGACTTATTTTAAGACCTTGTAGAGGTGTAGGTGTTCGGATGGCTGAACTTGGGGAGGTAAAACATGTTGTTCTGTGCCTTAACAAGCCAACTGGAAAGAACCAGGTTCTCTTGCTTCACCTGTGTGTGTTTGCCTCTCCAGTCAATATGAATTTCACAGTCTGCTGCCGCTGCATCTCTCAGTGGAATGCACCCCTTCTTTGTTCAATATTATGACTTTCTCTGCCTTAATTGCTTTTTAAGAGGGCCTTACCTTGGCAAAGCCGGTTTCACTCCCTCCTGCTGCATCATGTGTTTTGTTATTGCAATTACCGGTCAATTCTTACGACAGGTTTCAACAAAAGTGGTTTGTTTTTTTTTCTTGGGAAGTTTGTCTGAGTGAGTAAAAGGGAAAGAATGTCAAAAAATGCTTCTTCACATTGTTGTCTGTGGTTATGGCAGCGTGTCACAACCAGGAATCAAAAGCACAAATGTGAAACTAAGTAAACGTTCACACAGTAGCTAAGGGGTGAGGTTAAGAACTTTGACCCCTGTTTAGGAGGCCCTCACAGCCCTGTTAAAGCAGGTAGAGTCAATCATGGGACATAATGACTTGTTTTTGCATAGCATGACGCTCCAAGTGTGCCAGGGGTCAACACCTCTGTGCTAATGAAAAGTCTGGCTTGGTTATAAATAGTGAAGGTGTGTCCAAAACTATTCAATAAAAAATAACAATTTGATGGTGGTTCTTTATAATGGCATTATAATGAGGTTGGATCATTTCTAATAAAGATAAAGTAAAAAGACAGAAAAAAATATCTCTCTTAAGTCATTTTTAAGTTTTAAATCTAAGTTTAAATTCTTAAACTTAAACTTAGATTGGACTCTATAAAATTGCAGCTGCTCTCTAATCTGATGTTCTCCAAGTGTACAATACAGTATTTTAAGATTCATCCCAGAGAATATACTTCATTTGGGTCAAATTATCACAATTGAATGACACTTAATAAATAAAATAAAGTAAAGATGGTAACGCTTTATAATAACTACACCTTATTTAGCCTTAATAAAGCATGAATAAAGACTTAATTAATAATGAACAAAGACTTAATTAATAATGATTCACGCTTAGTAACTACTTAATTACTACCTGAATTAGCAT